AAAATGTTCAGCCTCATATACATGTCTTTGCAGACGCCTTACAGTATTTCTGTGGGGTAGATTCTCAGAAGTGGAATTTCTGAGTCAAATAACACATGTGATTTTGTCAAATTGCTCTCAAGTTTGTGCCAATGTACACCCCCTACCAAGAATATATGAGTGCCTGCATCATCCTTCACCAAAATTGAGTATCATCAACTCTTGTAATTTTCCCCATATGCTATGTTAAAAAAGTGATTTTATTAATGAGATGGTCTTCTTCATATGCCTTTTGACTTTCTGTGTTTCTTTTGTGAATAACTTGTCCATATTTTTTGTCTACTTTTCCTTGGAAATTACACATGTGGTTATGAAAGCTTTTTATATAGCAAAGATATCAACACTTTGTATCTTTTACATATACTGTTAATATTTTCTCCTATCTTTTAAAAATTTTTATGTAGCTAAATTTGTATCAATATTTTCTTTGATAGCTTTTGACTTTCATTCTTAGGAAGGCTTTCTCCACTCCAAGATTATAAAAATATCCCCTTGTGTTTTTTCCTACTGTATTAATTTTTTAGAAATCTGAAAGATTTTTAAAAGTAGAAAGCACAATAAGCACTCCTATTCCTACCATGGGGTATGTTAACGTATTGCCATTTTTACAACACCATTTTATTTTAAAGAAATAAAACCATCACAGGTAAAGCTAAAGTTTTCTTTGATACTGTCTTCCAAGTTTTATCCTCCCCACGTCCCAAGATTTTTGTATGTACGCTTCCTGTCATGTAGGTGTTTAATCTGCTGTAATTTACTTTTAGGTCAGGCGTGAGGTAGGACTCTTTTTTCCCCAGATGAACCAAATGTTTCCAGTATTTTTTATTAAATAGTTCACTGCCCTCCAGTGATTTGAAATGCCACCTTTATCATCAAATTAACAGTATGGATCAACTTCTCCCAATGTTCTTTAATTAGTATGCTGTACTTTTATAGTGGCAAAAATCAATATGAAAAAAATTTTGTGTTGTAAAGATGTGCTTTGTCTTAGTAATGGAAGCACTGCTCTTCCCCTCCCCATAATGAGATAGGATTTCTACTTTAAAGGGACGCTCATATTAACTAGTATAACACACTTCTTAAAAGTGCCAATACCAGAAGCTTATATTGAGTCACAACTGACTGAGGCATAGAGGAAGAAAAGGTAGAAGTGGGTGAGGTGGTCAGAAAGGGCTTCAAGGAGGAGGCAGGGTTCATGTTGGGCTGGGAAGGGAGAATAACTTAGCAAAGTGGAAATCAGGCAGATCTGAAGGCTACAGGCAAGAGATAGGCAGGCTTGTGAAAACAAGCTTGGGTCATTGAAGACAGAGCCATATGACTGGAGTTACAGGTTTGTGGGTGTGTTGTGGGAGGTGAGGTTGGGAAGGCAAATGGAATATAAACCAGATGGCTCAGCCATCTGTAAAACAGGGCCACAGCCTACTTCTGCTGTGCAGATCAGTGAGTAACGGATGGTAAAAGTCTGGTACTGTGCTGGGACAGAGCTGAAGTGCAGTGAATGTTACATTAAAAGAAACTACTAGGCTGGCTTTGGACTTGATTCTTTTCTGAAAGAATGGTGAGGAAACGGCCCCATTTCAGTGTTCAGTAATTCCTGTTGTATGTAGAGGATAGTTATTGTCTGATTACATTGTGCTTATACAGGGATCTCTGACAGATAAGGTCAACTCCCCATGATGTGATGGGTCCCAAAAAAGGTTACAAAAGCCCTGAAGGTACTAGGGTCATTTGCTGGCATCTCATTGGGTGTGACCACCCAGCCCAGCCAATCCAGCATGAAGGGGCACATTCCCTCAGCATAACATAGGAAAAGAGGGGAGCCTCCCCTAATCAGGGGATCCTGAGTCACTTCATCTGTTCAAAGAAAAGATTTGTATTTTAAGGCAGAGTACTCTCTAAAGCAGCTTGAAGCAAAAAGAAACAGGCCTTTGTACCGAGGAGTTAGAAGGCCACCTGGTGGCGGGGCTGGCAGGGTACCACAGGGAAGGAAGGCCTAAGAAGATAGGAGGGCTTGAGACCTGAGGGTAGGCACTGCTTTGGAAGACAACAACCTATCATCGCTGAGATTTCAGAAAGTTCCTGAACTTTCTGAGCCCTGCTTTCCTTATCAGTAAATGGATAACAGTATCAATCTCACTCGCTTCCTAGAATTCAGTAAACTAGAGGAAGTACCTACTATACCATGGGGGACATATTCAATACTTAAAAGCCTTAATTGAATAGCAGAATAAAAATAATAATACTTATCATCTAGTGAGTGCCAAAACTGCACCAGGTGCTCACCTCATCGACTTGTCTCAACCTTCATTTTAGAGAGGCAAAGGAGGTTCACAAAGGTTAAGTTGCAGGTCCCTGTCACACAGCCTGGAAGTGGGAGAGCCAGAACTTGGAGGAGATCTGAGGTCTGCTTCAGGGTACTCTGCTCTGTTGCTGCATACGATGTCAGCTGTCAAGTTAGATGTCTGCACTTTATAAACCTCCTCTCTAAGTCTTTAAGTTAAAAAAGAAAATATGTGCCAGCCTATGTCACTTTTGTTAAGGGTTAGAATTAAAGAAAAAAAAATTTTTTTTTTACTATGTGTAGGTCTTTGGGGTAAGAGGGAGTTCCTGTATATACTTGGGGACCTGGGGATAGTAATAGCAGTAATCAAATTGAGTTAAAGTTGTTTATTCCAAACCTAGAGGTTTTCCTCTAATGTTCCTACTCTAGAAGGGGAAATTGGATTTCACCTTGTATTTTTCTAAGAAGAGCTATACCTCTACAGAGCTGCCTCCACTGCCTCCACAATATCAACAGATCCTCATCTGAAATCCTCAGTGTCAAAGGCTTTTCAGAAGATATATTTCATGGATTTGATAGGACTGATCTGAATATTCTACATTAGGAAGTCCAGGAGGGCCTGGTCAGCCCCAGTAACCAAACACAAGAATGTTTCTGCAATGTATGAATGTTGACATCAGTAGGATAAAACCAAACCATAGACAGCCTCATTTTAGTTCAGGTTAGGTTTTGTCACTCGATGAGTTCGGTGGCAGATTGATGAAAATGTTTGGTTCTCAGAGTGTTTCTGAGTTTAAGAACTATGAGTAAGGGAATATAGATCTGTTGAGAACAGGAGCAATGGCCAGCAGCTACTCAGTGCTAAGTATGTGTCAGGTGCCCTAATTACGTACTGTGTCAGTTGATTCTCAAAACATGTCACAGCATTGGTGCTTTGAACATGGGCACTATCACTGTATAATTCTATAATGTATCACACAGCATGATGCAGTCATTTACAGCATGGACTGTCTAGGTAGGCTGCCTGGGTTACAATTCTTGTTCTACCACTTAATTGCTGTGTGACTTTGGCAAATTACTTAACTTCTCTGTGCTGTTTCCACATCTGAGAAACGAGGGATAATACTAGTACTTATAACTTCATAGTGTTATTGTGAGAACTAAGCGAGTTGCTTTGTGAAAAGTGCCTGGCACATAGCAACGGTCCTTATTATTTAATTTTGCAAATGGACAGACTAAGCCTCAGGGAAGTTTAGTAACCTGCTCAAGAATACACAGTCGTTAAATGTGGAGCTTGGATTTAACTAACTACAGAACCTACCCTCCATTATTCTTTTTGGGCTACAGGCAAACAACCAGATAAGAGACAAAGTAGCTACTAATCTACAATGATGTGAAGTTTGAGGACCAGTTGCTGTTTGGGAACGCTGGACTATTCAGATAATGGTAGCTCAGTTATGTAAAGCCACAAATGATTGCCACATGCCAAGTTGGTCAGTTACCTTCCTAAATGCCACTGACCAAATAACGAGCTTATTTTTCAACAGGTGGTGTTCTTTTCAAACCCTGTCAGTTGCTCATGACCTTGTTCCCCACCAGGCCGACTCACCATCAGGGCCCTGGCGGGCAGCAGCGTGCAGTGCTGTGTCCCCATGGCGGTCCTGGTGGGCAGGGTCAGCCCCCAGCCGAAGAAGCAGGCACAAGGCAGGGGCATCATGGCGGGAACAGGCCCGGTGGAGTGGTGGGGGCTGCCCAGCATCTACATCAAGGCCTGGGTGTCGCTGGAGGAGGGCCTGGGCCCGGACCAGCCGTCCTGCAGACAAATAACGACGAAAGCGACGTTCTCGACGTTGGCGGCGGGAAGTGGAGGCCATGGAACTCTCGGCCTGAGGAAGAAGGAAAAAGAGGCAGCAGTCAGGACCCCACCTTTGGCTGGTCCCTCCTCCTCCATTTCTGACATTCCCTGTAGTTCCTCCCTTTGGTTCCCCGTTTCTTCTTAAATCTTCAGCAAAAGATGAGGTGTGTCCTAACCCTCAACCCTTAACAGATGACAGGTTTGAAAAAAATTTTGAGGAGGCCTGGGGTCACAGATTTAATTTTTTAATGTAAAATTTGAGGAAAGGATAAATAATTGCTTCGAGGCCCATTTGCCCAGGTAAAATTTTAATAAAGAACTTTGAAAAGACGAATAGAGAGACTGATGGGAGAAATTTTTATCAACAGAAATTTGAATTTAAAAGTCACAGATAATTTCAAAAATAATGATCAAGAAATTGAATATAATGTACCCGGCAGAGAGACGTAGAGGCTTCTCCCACTGGGACCTGAGGGGAGGGGTTACTCATCAGACCTGCCCCCCGCCCACCTATGGACCCCCAGAGCTGTAGGCCCGAGGCCTGTGTTTAAGACGCTCGGAAGAAGGAAGGTGGGAAGGGCGGAGACACTCTAGGCTGGCGGAAATGGCGCAAGCGGAGACGCAGGTAAAGGGCGGAAATGAATTGTAAGACGCTTTACCGGATGTCGTTTCTCTGTGAGCAAGCCGGGATCATGGGAGTTCTTCAGTTTAGCCTCCGGCGGGGAAACTAGGAAACTTAAGATAAAGGGCCCGCCTGAAGTCGGAAGACTGGAACGTAGGCGTAGAAAAGTAGCCCCGGTAGGGGCGGGGAGAAAGGAGGGTGGTTTAGCGGTTTATCCCCGCTCCCCGAGCTTGGTGGAGGGGAGAGAGAAGATGGTTCAGTGATGAAAAGATGAGAAGACGGGGGAGATAGACTGGATAAAAATCACAGTGAAAATGGATAACCAAAACCAAAACCAAAACTACAGTGAGGCTAAGAATAGGGACAGATAAAAAAGGGGAAACACACAGACGTGAAGACATCAGTAGGACAAGGCAAGTGAAATAGATGCAGAAAGTTGGACTTGGGAAAAATGTGGGAAAGGAGATGGAAACGGTAAAGAGAGAGAAAAAAGAGGGTAAGGGAAGCTGTTAGAATTCTGAGAAGCCCGGCATACTCTCCCAACATACGACATATTGTGACTTCTTTACCTTCTCACCCATTCTCAATCCCGTATGCCACCTTCTCTCCCAAATACTCCTCGCCTCTCTGCCCCAGCCCACATCTCGTAGACGTTCAGACTGCGAAAGCCCTCCTCCTGCAGTGAAGTTAGCGGGCAGCTTTGGGCCTGGTCTCTGCTGCTCCCAGGCGGTCCTTCTGGGTACTGCTAGAGTGAGAGGTGGGAGAGGAGGACCAGCCATCAATAGGAGGATCAATTTTGTGGACACGCCCGGTGCAGGAGGCTGTGCGAAAAGGGGAGCACTAAGACCCAGGGGTAGTGGAGGACTGCAGCAGGGAGGCAGAGAAGGAGAAGGAGACGTTTGTGTGTGTGTGTGTGTGTGTGTGTGTGTGTGTGTGTGTGTGTGTGCTGCGGGGGAGCCAACTGACATCTTGGTACCATCCAAAACAGCATCGGCCATAACTACAGAAATGGCCAGTCAGTCCCAGGGAATCCAGCAGCTCCTGCAAGCAGAGAAGCGGGCGGCTGAGAAGGTGGCAGATGCCAGAAAGAGTGAGTCTTTTCTCCTTTAGCAGTCTGGAAAAAAATTGAGGGTGGGGAATCAAATATTTGAGTCCTTGAGAAAACCCAAGGCTGGTGGGGAACAGAGCAGGGATGCTGGGGAGGCTGATTAGGAGGGAATAGGTGTGTGTGTGTTAGAATCTGGCACCTAGTTGTCCTGGAAAGGACCGACCCCTACATCACATTTTGTCTACTACTATCTCCCCCACCTTCCCCGGCCTTTCTTCTGCCTCCAGGGAAGGCCCGGCGTCTGAAGCAGGCAAAGGAGGAAGCACAGATGGAGGTAGAGCAATACCGCAGAGAGCAAGAGCAGGAATTCCAGAGCAAGCAGCAGGCAGTGAGTAGTGGGAGAGTTGGGATGGGACCCCTGGGTGCAAGTTGGTGGGTGCATCTTTATGAGGTGTGTTTAGGGTGATTCTATAAGAAGATAAGGTGGTAAAGAGCTGAAGAGGACCCTGGCAGGAACCATGACATTGGTAAAATTTTGTGATATGTAAGAGTTTGGGAGTTTTGAAGGACTTGTATAACACGTGGGGTGGAATTGCCACAGTGTATATGGAGTATGATGACATTTGGGGTGGAAGGCAGTTTTATGATTATGGGTGGTGAGGTGGTGAGGATATTAGTCTGTTTTAGGATGAAGTTGCATGTCAGGTCTTAGAAGAAAGGGGATTGTGTTGTTTTCTTTGGTGTCTGGATATTTCTGTGGAATGAGGGTGGTTTTGGAGAGAGCCTTTCTTCCTGGCCTTGCTCCAGGATCTTTCCCTCCACATGCCTGGATCTTTCTTTTTATTTTTCTGCTTTTTCCTCTTTTCCACCCCTTCTGCAATTCCCCAGGCCATGGGCTCCCAAGGGAACCTCTCTGCTGAGGTGGAGCAGGCTACAAGGTGCCAGGTGCAGGGCATGCAGAGTTCCCAGCAGAGAAACCGTGAACGTGTCCTGGCTCAGCTTCTTGGCATGGTCTGTGACGTCAGGCCCCAGGTCCACCCCAACTACCGGATTGCTGCCTAGGACCCATCCTAGGCCTGACTCCTCCTGCCAGTTCTTTCCCTCAGAGAAATCCCCAAATCAAAATCACCTTCCACCGTAATTGGTCTCTCCTTTCCATTCCTTGGGAATTCTAGGAGGCAGGACCCAGTAATTCTCCTGTGAATTTTATAAATATTCTTCTTAGACCTAATCTTGTTATTGTTCTTTAATCTTCACTGGGACCTCGTAAACTCCCAGGTCACCCTCATCCAACCCCTCTGTGAAATCTCTAGCATGGAGAAGTAGGCACGTGGGAAACACTGACTTCAGAGCCTGACAAGCTTGGGTCCCTCTCCTGACCCTGCCACTTGTTGGTTGTGCAACCAGGACAAGCTGTATGTAGCCTCAATGTTCTCCTCTTCCAGACTGGAATAATAATAATAGTAACACCTATCTTATGGGGGTTGCTATAATGATTAGGAATCATTCAATAAAGAGCCTAGTACAGTTTCTGGCATGTAGTAGCTGTGATTCAGTAAATGGCAACCTTGTGATATTATTACCATCCCCTGTCCACCTGCCAAAACCTAAATACAGCTGTTTACTCACTTCTGTCTGTGGTTCTCTAATTCTCCTGACTCATTTTGTGACCCTAGGAATTCTCTGAAGAATTGGTTCTTCCCTCCTCTTTTTTCCCAGAGACCTTATGATACCTGAGAAGATGAAATCATGACCTCATTTAGCCTCTCTACCATGGTTTCAGGAAGATGTTGCATTTCTAAGCCTCTCTTAAGTTTGTGTTTGTCTTTATTAAATTTCTCCCTTTACCTATTTCCCTAAAGTCCCACCAGATGTTCACTGCTTCCTGCAATCTAAAGTGATACTGTGTTCCCATATATGCATGACCTTCATTTCCACATACCCAACACCTTACTTTCCCTTAGTAACAATAAAAAATATCAATAAAATAACTATGGGCAAATTGGTGTGTGGAAGCAGTCTCCTTTTGCTTCTCATTTCTTTTCTCATTTTCAGTCACTTTCTTGTTCTTTGTTTATGTATTACCCAAACACCAAAAAGGGCAGTCCTTTGAAAGTTGGAGAAACAGAAGCAAATAGTAAGTTATTGTTTCTCTAAAGAGAGAAACAGTGTGATTCCTTTTTTAGAAATCTGAGGACTATAGATAGCAACAGTAGAGAAAAGCTGGGGTATAGGAACCAGTACTCTTTGCTCCTGATCTTGTTCTATTTTACTTCATAGCACTTACTGCTACTTGACATGTTTATATATTGTTTCCCTGTTATGTGAACTCTGATGACAGGGCTGTTCACTTCTGTGTCCCTAGATCCTAGGTAAGCACTTGGCACTTGATAAATACTTTTGCAAAATTGATACTTAGGGTTGGGAAAACTGCCTTTCTATGACACCATCCATGAATCACTGTTACTTCTGTTGGTTGTAGAAAACAAGCCTGTTTCACCAAGGACTTGAACCAATGAGGTAATTTGTAGTGTATTTATTAACCAAACTCTTAAGCGGGGAAGCAGGATACAATAGAGAATAAGGTGTTTATATATCCTGGCTCTATCACTTTACTAGCTGTATTACTTTGGACATGTTGCTTTATTTTTCTAAGTTTATTTGCTTTTAGGAGAGTGGGAATAATGGTTCCTACTCCTTATAATTAATTGGTTTAGTGTGATAACAGGTAAAGGGCAAAACATTTGTTGTTATTTTTGCTAAGCAGCAGGACATCATATTTGACTTCTGTAGCACTACTTCTATCAGTAAGTAGTCATAAAATGTTTCATTCAGGAAAAAAATCTAGGCTCAACAATGGGGCTTTTGGGGGCAGGGCTAAGAACATTCTGGTCGATTAACAGTTTTTATGTAATGTTACATAATCCTCAAGCTCTATCACTTGGGTAAGAATCTAGAACCCCCAGCCTCCCGCTTAGTGGATTCAAAACACCTTCCTGAGCACCTGCCCACCAGCCTCAAGGCCGTTGGGGGATCGACTACATGGGCCAACATTTTGGGCAAATTCTGCCCTGTCTTCACGGTTGGGGAAAGGGTAGGCACAGGACTCGCAAGCACCGCTCCCTCCCTCTCCTCATCTGGGAAGGTGGTTCCACCGCGCCAGCGCTTAAGCCCCAGGTCACCTTGACTACCGGGTCCAGGACCCCGTGGGAACTCGCAGGCCCCCCACCTGTTTTGTGCGCCCACGGAGGCGTACCCAGAGAGAAGACCTGCATGGCAAGTACTTAATCGAAGAGGTGACGGGCATAGAGGAGAGTAGGGCCAAAGAAAAAAGATAACAGTAGGAGAAGATGCTGATTGCCTTTATGTCTTTTGTTACTGGCAATAGCGGAGTAGTTAAGAGTTAGCTTGAAAAAAACTCATATAGGCATTTTCTAACGGTAACAACCAAAGCGCGCGGAATTGTAGAACCGTGGAAGGACCCTCTTCCGGCCCCTTGCGCCTGCGCACTGGCAGCCAAGAAGGCGGGAGGCCTGGGTAGAGGGAAGCCGGGAACCGGAAGTGAAGGCAGATTCCGTCCTTCGTGTGTATTGCTGCCGCCATAAACGTTGGCCTTGTTCAGGTAAGCGGTAACATCCGTCCCCATCTGCGTTTCTCTGCGGCCATCCTATGGCATGGCCTTATGATACCCCTTCCACGCCCTACGATTTGGACGTTGGGGCCTAGTTGGGCCATTTCCATCGCTTGCATCCCCTTTTGAGAGTAAAAGAGCTCATGGGGGAAGGTAGGGAATCCGGAGGGGTCTAATCCAAGATGGTGACCTCGGCGCCATTGTGTTCTCTTTTCTACCCGCTTCTCCGGTGGGCCCCTTGTTTAAGGGAGGCCCCAACAATGATGAGAGGTGGTTGCTCGGTGTCCTTTGATTCTGGGCCTTTGAAGAGGGCGGAGCCTTCCTCACCTTTCTTCTGGTCTCGGTCCTCTATCGCCCACGTTGGGAGTAAGAGGAGCCGGCTTCTGGGCCTACTTGGACTTTACTTCAACTAGCATACCTTTATTTGGGGCGCCTTCCAGATACTTACGAGTGGTGTCATTGTGTGATTATCGGAAAAGAGTCAAACATGAGTAAATGAGACGCAGATGTTGACAGTTTGGTAAAGGTTTTGTTAAAGCTGGAGTAAGGATGCCTCTTTATTATTACCTCATCACTTAACTCTGTGGTGAAGAGATGAGTATTTTTTTCCCTACCTAGCCATTAATTACACAGGGATTTGTTAAGTACCAGAAGGTTATGGAGGAGGGGGAGGTGAATGGCAGCCACATGATGTTTTCGTTGAGAAGTGAGTGCTTTGCTCATTGATGACCTTAATCTATCACCCTTGACTGATGGCTGCTATGTGAGGGGTTGACAATTTGAGATTTTAGGGAAAGTACAAGGTGGTCTTTTAAGGATCTTTTTTTTAGCACTCTTAATCTTGTCGTCTCCATTCTCCACTCCTTTAATTTTTCAATTGTATTCATTTCATTATCCTTTTTCCTTACTATTGTTACAGATAAGGAATTTATAAGCCATCTTTTTCAGTTTAGGGATTATAGTACTCTGATTTTACACGTTGGGAACCTGTGTCCTAATCACCTCTTCTCGAACCTTTTTACCCATACTCTGTATTATGTTTGCTTTTCACTTTTTTTGTTGTTAATTTTTTATTAAGGTATGATTGATATACCCTCTTACGAAGGTTTCACATGAAAAAACAATGTGGTTACTACATTTACCCATATTATCAAGTCCCCACCCATACCCCAATGCAGTCACTGCCCATCAGTGCAGCAAGATGCCACAGATCCACTTGCTTTTCACTTTTATGTTTTGTGTTTCTCTGTTTTTTCCTTTCAGCGAAAGGTTTCATAGTTTAGAGAAAGTGGAGAGAATGTGGGGATGGAAAAGAGGTGGTGAAGGCTCTGCTCCTGACTAATAATCTTCTATCTGTTTGCTTCCTAGCTCTTCTGTCAGAAGCCTGTGTGTTTCTTTTACTCAACTGTTCCTCAAGCCCCCACTCTCCTCCCTCATTTTGCGTGAACCCATTCAGAGCCCCCCATCCCTTCTCCCAGTGCCGGTCCAGTTATGGCAGAGAACGATGTGGACAATGAGCTCTTGGACTATGAAGACGATGAGGTGGAGACAGCAGCTGGGGGAGATGGGAGTGAGGCTCCAGCTAAGAAGGACGTCAAGGGCTCCTATGTCTCCATTCATAGTTCTGGCTTTCGTGACTTCTTGCTGAAGCCAGAGTTGCTCCGGGCCATTGTTGACTGTGGCTTTGAGCATCCATCTGAAGGTAAATTTTCTGCTCACAGTATTTATTAAGCTCTTTAAGAATACAAAAAACGTGTTTGACCGTTCCTCAGGTGATATGGTTATATATTTAGGCTATACCGGGGAATAAGGGATTAATGAAAACCTCTTAATAATATAAATATGTAGGGCTGGTCTATTATTCATGATAGCATGAAAGTGCTAGCGACCTAAAAGCATCTTAGAAGTCTGCTGTTCATTCTTGCGACTAGCTTTTCTTCTTGTCTGCTTGTTTTTAATTTTTTCATTTTGACTTCAGATTATAAATTTCCAGAGAGGAGCTGGTTGGATCTGTAGTTCCCCTCTTTTAGGCCAACTCTGGTCCCTGGAAACCATTATAGCTGATCTAAAGATGCCTGGCTTCTGGGTCAGGTACCAAGCCTTTCATTTTGTCCAAGGTTGCAGGATTATGTGACCTAAAGCATGGCCATGTAAGTAGGATAAATGGCCTATGGAGGGCACTCCAGATGTGATTGTTACAGATTAAGGGAAATAGGGACAGAGCCAGAAGCACCAAAAGTGAGCTGCTTGTAGATGCAAGAGGGGGAGAGGGCATGGAGCTGAGGTTGGAGGCTAAATCTAGAAGGAACTTGGTTGGGGGTCTGATTTAGGGGTGAATTTGATTGATTGAGGGAGCAGAGGTAGAAAGGGTCTGAAAACTCAGAGAACCACTTAATAATTGAGTGATGAAAAATGGATTTGGCATGGTGAAAAAGGAGGTTGAAGTCTAACTTACTGTAATAATTTTCCTCTATTTCTAGTCCAGCATGAGTGTATCCCACAGGCCATTCTGGGAATGGATGTCCTATGCCAGGCCAAGTCAGGCATGGGAAAGACAGCAGTGTTTGTGCTGGCCACACTGCAACAGCTGGAGCCAGTTACTGGGCAGGTACACTTCAGGAGGGTGCTGGGGAAGACATTTTGGTTAGGAATATTCTGGAAGGGTATTCAGCTACATGATGTATTCAGAGCCATGAGTGTTTGTTGCTAAAATAATCTATCACTGTTGGCTGATGGCCATGGGGAATTATCTGCTAAAATCATGGGGTTAATAATTTAGATCTCAGAATTAAAGTCATTTATGATTTGCCAAGTGTGCTTTTGTGGCAGTCACTTCCCCAGAGGAGTTAGTGAAGGGATATACTGTGTGTCTGTCTCCTTCTCCACTTAAGGTGTCTGTGCTGGTGATGTGTCACACTCGGGAGTTGGCTTTTCAGATCAGCAAGGAGTATGAGCGCTTCTCTAAATACATGCCCAATGTCAAGGTAAGCCAGGGTAGAGCCCTGGAGGGGTGTGGGTGTGGGGAATTCAGGGCATTGGAGAATTGTAAATCAGCAGTCTTCATGTCCCACAGATGGTAAATACCTGTCCATAGATCTCATTTTCATGTAATGGGTAGTAGGTTTCTGTAAGCTTTGTTGTACAAGAGATTGACATTCTGGAGCTCGTTTGGATGTGCATTATATTCAGTTGTGCTTGCTGTATCGTGCTGTTGGAGAAGCTTTAATTTGCCTTGGTGATGTTAATGTGCCTGTGTAGTGGGTGACTGACTTGCCTGAGGATGCTTACCACAAGACCAGTCTTGTTCACTATTTTTTCACACTGACTTTGCATCATCATTTCACTGTCCTTTGGTTGACAGTTTGAGAATT